TGTTCATAAGTGAACTGACGCATAAAAAATTAGTGTGCATGTGTTCACTACTGATCATGAACACATTCACAGTATGAAACAATGTTCATGATATTGATCAGTACTTTGTTCATAGGTGAATGGTTATCATAAGTGTACCATGATCATAAGTGTGCATGTTTCAAATTAGTGTGCATGTTTCTTATTGGTRCAAATGGGTCATTAACACCATTTGTTTGGTTAACAAAAGATCCTCCTCCACCCATCTCTCTCTACATATATACCTATATATATGCATGTGTGTGTGTGTGCGTACTCACACATGTCTGGGATGTGCCACAATTTGATTATCTTGTAGAAGATCCAAAGAATGAGTTTTACATGAAAGTTTCTTACAAGTCCAACGACTTTCTAAGGCTTAATCTGTTGCTTCTTGCTTTCGAGCCGCAGTTTGCAAAGATTATTGGGAAAAGCATGTCTACCATGTATCCTTAAAGTTCTCTTCTGATCACCCATGACTTATGTGTACCACTMGTGCCACGAAGGCTTTTGGAGGGGAAAGGCTTTTTTCTTATAAAGAGAGGTATAAGAGAATGGAAGACCAAAGAGACCCTCTGAAAATTCCTAAGCAGCAGGGCTGCTATCAACCAGCAACGACAAAGTATCATATTTATTGTTAATCCATTCCCTACATTTCCTATATTGGATTGATGAATCCCACCCCTTAAAGAATAGAGGACCCGCAACTTCCGCCTTGATAGGGCGGTGCTCTAACTGATTTAACTACAATCCCAGGTTGGAATCTCAACCTCTTACAATTGTCGAGAGATGTCAATGTACTACATCATAACAGTTTGAAATAACATCTACTTACAAAAAAGATCAATTTGAAAGAGTGAGYATAAATAAGAGATCTTCTCTTTTTCTCATGCTTGAGGAAGAGAGTGACTCTCGGTCTTATTTAAATATTCTSAATCAGTTTGAAATTAAGGAACTTYGTTGAACTTATGTTCTYTGTTCCTTCACCWATATTTATTCACATCTATTTAAATATGTAMATATGATAAATAATAAGTTGGATGGATGGGTTGACGTGTTATCAGCTTTCACTTTCTGGGTTTCTATGCGTTGTTCCCTTTGAAAAGGCAGCAATCCTTTTTGGATTTCATATTTATGTTTCAATATCCATTTTTATCTACTTATTTAATAAAATTTGTTGTAACTAATATATTCAGTTCAATACAATTTCGTTGGTTTTGTAAATTCAAAGGAATTAATGTGGTGAGTCTAATTTAATTGACAATTAGATGAGATTTTTATTGTTGTGCATTAAGGTCTCTGGATTAAACGAATTGATAAACAAATTACTTATTTAATAAAATTTGTTGTAACTAATATTCAGTTCAATACAATTTTGTTGGTTTTGTAAATTCAAAGGAATTAATGTGGTGAGTCTAATCTAATTGACAATTAGATGAGATTTTTATTGTTGTGCATTGGTGCATTCGGTATGGTGCATTTCAAAGTTTTGAAGGTGCGTTTGGTATGGTGCATTTCAAAGTTTTGAGGGTGTGTTTGGTGCGGTGGACATGAGAGGCTTGTTCCATATTTGGTGTAGAACAAGAAAGAAGAAGCAGATTTAGACAAATATACCCTTTGGAAAAAAAACATCCCTAACCCACCTCCTTCTTCCATTGATTCACGCTCTGTACCTAACACCTCCATACACCATCGATCGACTTCATCTTCGTATCAGTTCCTCGTCTTCTTCACAGGTAAACGACGCCTTTATCCATATCATCTTGTCTTCTGCCTGTCGATTCTTGTTTTCATTGTAGTTCTCGATTTCCGCCTTTCACACAGCATCTCGATTTCTACTTGATTTCTCGGTCTGCAACTATGTTGTATTACCATGATTGTCATAAGAAAGATTTTATTGTAGATTTGTTTATCTGCTACTAAACTTGTGATATTTTCTCTTTATTGAGAGCCAATTCAGTGGCAACATCTCGATTTTTACTTTTCACTTCCCATTTCACACCTCCATACTTACTGTTTTTTTGTGATTTTCACACATGAAACTTTTTTGTGATTTTCACACATGAAACTAAACAGAAAATTGATGATTTCTCATACATGGAACTAAACAGAAACTTGCCTTGAACCTACTATTGAACCTTATTGAACCTACTATTGTGATTTCACATCTAATTCATTTAATTAGATGAGATTTTTAATAATTCATTTCCTTGCATGCTTTCCAGTTGCAATGTAGGTAGTTTAATCCCCCCCCCCTTACCATTTTGAAATTTTACTTTTAACATTTATCTAAATTTCTTACATATATATGCTAAATTTTAAGCAGCCTTCAATGACCAAATATTTTGGCAATTAAAAATGAAAGCTCATGGTTATTACCTTTGTTATTTTTAACCTATTCCCAGCCGCATTGGTCGAGGATTGAAGCACAATCATTTGGGTATGTCTTTTGTTTGCAAATATTGTGAACTTCTCTTTACATAGTAGCGTTTTCAATACTTCTCTTTTAATTGAGGATATAGACAATCCTGGATGAACATAGTTCATAGGACAAAGGATTATAGATATGAACCAGGGGTGAAAGAATTTCTTAATTTTGCATACTGTGACAAAGAGGAGTCATCCAAAATTCCTTGCCCTTGCAAAACTTGCAACAATTTTCGCTACCATAATAAAACCATCGTATTCTCGCATTTGATATAAAAGGGGATTTTTGCTAGTTATGATAGATGGATATATCATGGTGAGACCTGTGATGTTTCGGATGATGGTGATGATGATATATCATTCAATGAAAATGATGAGGCTAATGATGATATGAACGGTGATGACCTTGATGAGATGTTAAGTAACATAGGTCAAGGTACATGGGGTGATAGTTGGCAAGCTAGTGGTGGACCTTCTTAAACTTCAGACAAAAATTTAGAAACCATTCGTAGATTAAAAGATGAATGACACCAAGAGTTTTATCCAGTATGTCAAAAGTATTCAAAATTTTCATTCATTGTTACTATTTTACATTTAAAAAACAATGAGTGGTTGGTACGTCAAAATATTTGATGCCTTGCTTGATATATTAAGAAAAGCCTTGCCATCTTCAGCCTTGGTCCCAAGGAACTTCTATGAAGCAAAAAAAAGACATACGTGATTTGGGGTTTGGGGGACAAAAAAATACATGCATGCATCAATGATTGTGTTCTTTACTGAAATAAGTATGCGTCTCTTACCCAATGTCCAAATGATGACTACAAATAGCCTCGGTTTAGCGAAAATGATGTGAGGGTTCTACGAAAGGTGCTTCAATACTTTCCTCTCAAACCTAGGCTTCAAAGGTTATTCATAGATAAACAAGTTGCTTGTGATATGAGGTGGCATAAGGAGAAGCGAGTTAATGATGATAACATAATTAGACATCTTGCAGACAATGAGGCTTGGAAACACGTTGATAGAGTGTTCCCTTCATTTGTCAATGATCCATGCAATGTACGTTTAAGGCACGCAACTGACAGAGTCAATCCTTTTGGAAACCTAAGCAATTCATATAGCATATGATCGGTCTTTGTTGTCCCATATAATCTGCCTCCATGGAAATATATGAAAGACTCGTACTTGTTCATGTTTATATTGATTCCTGGTCCCACATCACAGGCACTAACATTATGGGTGAGCAGCGGAACCGGGTACCTGCCTATGGAACCGGAACCGCCTTGGAACTGCCGGTTCCGGAACCGGAACCGATATGAGTGGTTCCGGTTCCGGTTCCTAAAATACGGAACCGATTGAGAATGGTTCCGGTTCCGGTTCTCAATTTTTTGGAACCGTTACCCGCCGGGTACCCGGTATTTTTCAAGTAAAAAAATAATAATTATTTTTTAATACCAAATTTATATTAGGTTTACATCTTGAAAGCACGTCGTCATTTTCATTCTTCATCTAAATTCTCCATATAAAATGATTCGTATTTTTTTCAAATTGTGTATTCACTTGGATTCATACTATGTAATCGTTAAACTTTGAACATTTACCATTATAATATGTAATTGTTAAACTTTGAATATTTTCTATTAGTCTATTATAGTTTGTAATCGTTAAACAATATTTGTAACAATTATTTTGTATAATTTGTATTCTTGCTTATTTATTTAGTGTTTTGGCAATGTTTATTTTTTATTTCTAAACAATAAAATTTTAATATTTTAGGAAGTGGGTACCCGGAACAGGAACCGGTTCCCGGCGGTTCCGGTTCCTGTTCCAAAAATTTAAGAACCGCTCTAACCGGTTCGGTTCCAATATTTCAAGAACCGCCGGTTCCGGTTCCTGTCAAAAAGGGCAGGTACCCGTCTATGCTCACCCCTAACTAATATTGATGTTTACTTACAACCTTTGATAGATGAATTAAATGAGTTATCGGTTGGTGTTACCTATGATCCACATAGAAAAGAAAGTTTTACACTACGTGCAACTCTTTTGTGGACAATAAATGTTTTTCCTACATATAGTATGCTCTCTGATTGGAGTCTTAAAGGACAAAATATGTGTCCAATGTGTATGAATGAAACATCATCTCATTATTTTACTCACAGTAGGAAAATATGTTATATGGGTCATCGAAGATTTTTCCCATCCTCAAACCAATGGCGAAGGGATAAAAGGAACTTTGATGGGGAGCTGATATTCGAGAGCCAATCGCACCAAAGCCCGGCCATGAAATATTGTCAGATGTTGATTCTACTATTAATGAGACATATTGCTTTGTTAATAAAAGAAAGCGTAAGAATGTTAATGGCAAATAAGGATGGAAAAAAAAGTGTGTTCTTTAAGCTTCCATATTGGGTTTTTCTAAAATTGAGGCATAACATAGATATCATACATGTTGTTAAGAATGTCACTGAAAGATTGGCAACCAACATTAAAAACAAGACTAGGGATACATGGAAATCTCGTAAGGATTTGATGAACGAAAAGTTGCAGAAAAATTTACATTTGCAACCATATGGTATTTCATTCATATGCCTATGGCTTGCTACCACTTGATGAAGGATGAGAAACAAAAAGTATTAAATTTCTTGAAGTCACTCAAGTTCCTGGATGGATTTGCTTCGAATATATCTAGATGCATAAAAGGGGAAGAATTTCAATTGTCTTGCATGAAAAGTCATGATTTTTATGTCTTCATCCAACGAGTGTTTCCCTTATCAATTAGTGGTTGCTTGACGAAGGAAGTTCGGCTTCTACTGTACGAATTAAGTGAGTTTTCCAGAAATTATGCACTCGAAATATGTACTTAGATGTTCTTGAGAAAGAAGAGGCAAAAGTTGTCGTCATCTTATGTAAATTGGAGCAGCTATTTCCTCCATCATTCTTTGACATCATGACTCATCTTTTGACTCATTTGCCATATGAAGCGAAGATAGCAGGTTCCCTCAATATCGATGGATGTTCCCATTTAAGAGGTAATTAATTATATTTCTTAAAATGTCTAAAGTTATTATTCCTTTTTTATTATATTAATTCATTATCATTGGTTCAGAAAAATGCATATTTTAAAAGGATACGTTCAAAACAAAGCTCGTCCAGAAGGATGTATTGTTGAGAGATACATAGACAATGAATGTCTAACTTTTTTTTCGATGTATTTGAACGATGTTGATACTGTTTTCAAAAAGGTTAAGCGCAAAAACGAAATGATGGACAGTAGTGGTGACATTTCTGTATTCTCATGTAGAGGTTGTCCATTGGGTAGTCTTCAAATATGTGAAATAAGTGACACTGAATTGGAGAAGATTCATATATACATTTTGAACAATTGCCATGAAATGGAAGATCTAATAAAGTACCCTTTTATCATATAATTACTATTTATGTATTTTTCTTTTTAGTATAATAACACCGTATAATTTGTTTAACTTCTATAGTGCACACAAAGTTCAGCTCGAGGAAGAAAACTGTAACAATGTAAATGAACTTCATGGCAAACTATTTCCTTCATGGCTTTGACAACGTGTAAGACCAATGTTTGAGATTTGTTTTAAAAATTTATATATAACATTTTAAACTTGGTTAACCAATTATATGTTCTTCCCATTCAGGTGAATTCTTGTCCACAATCATTTGCACCTGAAATTCGTATATTGTCCTGTGACCATTACATTTCGTGAATTGATATCGTGGTTGTATGGTGAATGGATATAGGTTTCACACCCAAAGTCATGAAAAGAATAGGAAAATTCAAAATAGTGGAGTTGTAGTGCAAGGTGATCATGGTGAAAACATTATTGATTTTTATGGGATATTATAAGAAGTTTTAGAGGTAGAATACTTGGGAGAAAATAAACAAATGTTAATATTCAAATGTGACTGGTTTAATGTTGGTGATGGGAATGGAATAGAAATTGATAAAGAATATTGGGTCACTAGTGTTAATATGTCTCGAAAATGATACAAAGATCAACCATGCATACTTGCATCACAAACCAAACATATTTTTTGTACGTGATTTAAAATTGGGCAACAATTGGCATATGTGGTGCAAAGTAGTACCCCTAGAACATTGTATGATGTTCCTATACAAATTGAAGAAGTATATCAAGAACAAGAGACACATTTAGATCTGATCGTGGATTTGACAATGCATTTTGATCAACCATCTTTAACAAGAGGAACTGGCCCATTGGAAATTGTAGATGCATCAATCATTGGTCAAGACTCAAGTAGACGGTCAAATCAAAACCGTCATTGGTCAAGACTCAAGTAGACGGTCAAGTCAAAACCCTCATGTCATGGATGAAAGGCTTGTTGATGATGATGACAATAACCCAACAGATAATCTTCTCAAAAAGAGGAATCATGGCAAGATGATTATACTAATTCAGAATAGACATTTTATTTTTCAGAAATCTGATTTTAATGGTTGGCCCCTAGAAAAGGAGTATTGAAAAGGTTTGGTCTGCAAACGTCAAGTAACAACCATGGTGTTCCACTACCTCAGAGATCAAGTAGCAATCCTGATGTTTCGAAGGCTCATAAGTCAAGTAACAGCCGCCATGTTCCACCACTTCATAAGTCAATTAGCAGTCGTGATATTCCACCACCTCATATGTCAAGTAGAATCCATGAGGTTCAACAACGATAGAAATTAAGTAGCAACAATGATGTTCAAAAGCCTCACAAATCAAGTAAGAGCCACAATATTCCACCATCTCATGAGTCAAATAACAGTCGAGATATTCCAATGGAGAACCAAGGCCTAGAGAAAGATCATCAAGAAGAGGATCAAGAAATTGATTCTCTACACATTAAGATAGGCACGAGTGATCCCAATCGGAAAAGAATATCGGTTCAACTGCTTATGGTGTGTTTGTTATTATAGTATAAATTAAGTAGTTGAATTAGAATAGTATGTGATTAATGTAATGTATAACTGATAATTTTTCGTGTTGAATAAATTGTTTAGGCACATGTATTACTCGGAAAGAATCAAGAGTCTTAAGTGAAACGAGAGAGACGCTTGAATAAGGGGCAATTTGTTTTCTTAGTTGATGAATGTGTTGGACGTATAATTGGGGAAGATAGCCAGTGATTTATCACCAAAGGCGTCGACATTGGGTCCATTCCTGTTTCAATATTCATCTCCAAATAATGAGAATGAATAGATTATATGGCTACTCAGTTAACTGTTTCAGTTTAGAAAAGACTATATTTATTTCTATTAAGTCCTGTCACACACTCACCATTTTCTTTTAGCTCACAAACACTTAGGGGTTGTTTACCAAATTTTGTATTAAGTCCTGTATGGATAAATTTGTCTGTCTGGATATATTTATGTTGTTGTTTACTTTTTTATCTGAATCAACAGTCTGAATAACAGAAATGACTAATTTAACCCTTGAAGATGAACTACGTACTGT